AAGGATTTTACGGTGAGTACCAAAATCCTATTTTTCTGAAAATGCAGGTTGGTTGGCTTTCATTCTGACCATCTTGCTTCAGTACGTTAATTTACTGACCCAGAACAAGTACCGGTATGCAGATGAGGACATCTGACACCAGTACCACTTTTCTGATCAGCATAATTGTTCAAAGACGGTGACTAAGAAATGCCAAAGTGTGAGCATAGCGGTGAGTCAGCTAAACTTTTTAGAAGGTATTTGGGAAACGCAGCCTTCATTTTTCTCTTTTTACATTAAGGTTAACTGAGTCTACTTACTAAATTTAGCAGTATCCTGGAAGGTGTAGACCTGCGGTTCTCAATCGGTGGGTCGCGACCCCTTCAGGAGTAGAATTACGATTTTGCCAGGGTTCGCCTGAAGACATCTGAACTCTCCCCGATGCTCCGGGAGTCTCCCGCTATTAGTGGCTCCCCGCCGCCCGGTTATTGCATCCGCCCTCTGCTGCTGCCAATCAGCAGAGGGGGACCTGAAGTTCTCCATCAGGTCCTCTTCTAGTGATTGACAGTAGCAGAGGGCGGGTGCAATAGCTAGTTTGCTATTGCAATGTGAAATAGCTAATAGGAATCTAGCTAAGCATTCCTAATCTGCTTTTTTGTATTATTCTGACGGCGTACGCTTTACGTTTTACGTTGCATAACACGGTTCCAATTATTAATTAAATTGTCTACTTTTAAGCAATGGTTCTCAACCTGTGGGTCGCTGTGTGATTTCTACTGTGCTAGGTGAGAGTCCTCCTCAGCCCTCTCCTAACGCAACAGTGTCAGTTCTCCCGCCACGCCACCCAGATGTCGCTGCAGCATCCGCGTCATCCCTAAATTTTACCTTTGGGGGTCACCACAACTTGGCAAATGTTACCAAGGGGTCCCGGCCCTAGAGAGGTTGAGAACCAGTGTTGTAGACTAGGGCTGCAACAGCTAATCGACATAATCGATTATAATCGATTATTGAAAAAGTTGTCAACTTTTTCAATAATCGATTAATCGGCTTCCGATCAGTTGGCCCTGTTCACGGCTCCACGCGCTGCGCGCCGCACCTCACTCCCCAACTCACGCTCACCGCTGCCAGACCCGCCCGCATCCACGCTCTACACGCCGCACCTCCTTCCCGCCTCACACTCACCGCACGCCCACATCCACGATCGGCACAGGGACGCGGGGAGATGTAGTAAGGAGGAGCAGGTGTGGGGGGATGACAGCCGCAGATAGACAGGCCCGATCTCAGAAGCAAGTTGCTGGAAGACTGCTCAGGTAAGCCTGCACTTTCCCACACATGGTGCTCTATAATGTATTGCTGGGATTTGTATTCCTCTATAGCTGATGGTACATTGTGCTGTATATTATACATAGGAATACAAATCCCAGCAATACATTATACACTGTATGTATAATGTACTATTGCTGGCATTTGTTGTACTCCTCTATAGCTGGTGGTATTCTGCACTGCGCTGTATAGAGGACTACAAATCCCAGCAATAATACATTATACAGCGCCATGCGGAATTCCACCAGCTATAGAGGAGCACAACAAATCCCAGCAATAATACATTATACAGTGGTGCAATGTCGAATACCACTACCTATAGAGGACTACAAAACCCAGCAACAGCACATTATACATCGCAATGCAGAATACCGCCAGCTATAATTTACTATTGCTGGGATTTGTTGTATTCCTCTATAGCTGGTGATATTCTGCATTGCGCTGTATAATGTACTATTGCTGGTATCTGTAGTCCTTTTATAGCCGGTGCCATTCTGCATTGATTGCTATATAATTTTACACTTTCCATTTCACTATATTGCACACCACACTTTTTTTTTTTTTCTTTTTTACTTCCACCGCTCCAAACTTGCTCTTGTGATGAACTACACTCAATACAAACTAGTAGTCCCATCACTGGAGCCATTTTTTAAAATGTAATTTATTGTTTATCCGATTAATCGAACTTAATAATCGGCTAACTAATCGATTTTGAAAATAATCGTTAGCTGCAGCTCTATTGTAGAGGTTTGCTTTTTGATTACTATTGTTGCCTAAATTTGATTTTTTTTTTATAGTGATGATTGTAAAAGATCTTTTTCTTGGAGGTCTTTGTAAGGAAAACTAATCGTCTTAGTTAAAGAGGATTGTACTGTGGAAGTTGTGCTACAAAATGGCAGGCAGAAGACAAGGGACTAGTCACCCGTATGGTGTGTGGTCTCTATAAAGCAGATCTTTTCCCTATTGCAAACTTGCCATGTCTTGTGTCTCTGTGTGGTGGTGACCATCTTGGTAGAGGCAGGGCTTTGCTTTCTCATGTCAGAACTGCCTCATTGGTGACAAGTGATTTACTAGCTGCTGGGGTATTAAGAAGTGACAAGAAAGGGCACAGATTCACAGAATCTCCGGTACAGCTTCCTCTTCAGCAAGGAGAACTGTGAGCATCACAGTACTGACCTCACCAAATCTCACTCCCAGTCTGGTGAGACCAGCATTCAGAGGCATCAGTGCCTTAGATGATCTCGCACTGCAATTATATAGCTATGGGGCTAACGGCCCAGGAATTTCAATGATCTATTTTTCAGGAGGAATTCCAGACAAAGGGTAAATATTTTACGATATGATAAACTTCATATGTTTGCTATGAGATGAACTTTCACTTTTTTTTTGTGCTTTAACTGCAAGTGAGTTTGTTCCGAATGTCTCTTACCTGCTGTTGTCATTTGGATGCAATGAGAAAATCAAAGTCCATTGTCTTAAAATTTGCATTAGATGCAAATGATTGTAAGCTCCCACGGACACGACCCTCCTAACCATCTTGTTTTGAATTGTTATTGTAATGTCTTATATTGTAAAGTGTTGCACAAACTGTTGGCAATTTATAAATCCTGTATAATAGATTATACTGTATATGTTACAAGAATGTTTAAAGTGCAGCTGTCCTAACATTATGCTTATTAAAGCAATCCTAAGTCTTTTATAAATTTGAGAAAGACTTGCCAAAGTTCCCTCTTTGTTAACCAATAAGACGTTTTGATTGAACATTTTGAGCCATTGTTGGCCTTAAAATGCTCTCATTGGACAAAGTAGTGATTGTGTTCAGGGCCTAGCTGGACATGGTGGGACTTGGTTCTGAACTCAGGAAAGTTGAGCCCTTGGGTAACAATGGAGGGAAGGGTTTTTCACTAACTCGGATCATAGCAGGTTCCTTGTAGCACCTTCTTATACTGAAATTTAACTCTAATCAGATATGAAACACATTAATGTGGATTGTATTTTTTAGGTACAAGCAGTGATTGTACCTGAATTTGACCTCTTGCAATTCATTGTACAGCAAAGCTCAGAAGCAGCACAAAGAGCCAATCTGTCCTGCATTGCAAAGAGCATGCTGGTAGGACAAGGGAGCAGAGTGATGAGCTCATCGGTCTGCTGCTCCTCCTTTCACAAGTGCCTGCATTTGACTTCGTATGAGCCTCTTGGCTCCCCCTGTACAGCACTGCTCAGAAATGGCAAAATAAACACCCCAATTTAGGCAGTAATAGCTGACATGATTTTTTTTTTCTCTTTACAAGCAAACTTTAAAGTTTTTCACGTCTGCTTTCCTTTTCAGTTCTGTCGACAAGTCATCAGAGTCATTAAGTATAGGAAATGGCGATAACTTACAACAGGTAAGTGACAATACTCTGTTCTGGCAAAAATGGGTTTATGTCTTCCCACATGGCAAAGGAACACCCTTTATCGGCTTAGTGATAAGTTATTAAATTGTCCTCCCAGGCAAAATGGAGATTTATCGCTCACCTATCGTGTTCCTATTGTTTCAAGATGAACCCCCATGGATATATAAATACATTTGATGCTGCTCTGTAGTCATGAGAATGTCAAGTGTATTTTTAAAGTAAACAAGTGTAAGTGCATAAACTTGGATTGATATCAGCCTCTTGCAATCCCCTGTACAGCGCAGTTAATATTGGGAGGGGAGCAGCAAAATGAACTAATCAGGTGTGTTGCAGTGCTCATGTGTTACTAGGAGGAGAGAGCAGAGTGAAGGTGCCCACACACCTTACAATAATCGTACGATAATCACGGGAAATCCGCGATCGTACGATTATCGTAAGGTGTGTGGGAGCGGTGCGCCCTCTGCTAATGTAAGGCCACACGACTTTTATCTTAGGAACATGTTCGAAAACCCGCCGAGAATTGTACGATTTTCGGCGGGTGTGTAGCATGTTCGTAAGATAAAAGCCGGACGGGCCGGTGTACACAAGCGCACACTGCCCGTTCAGCATTGCGGTCATCGGAAGCGCGTCTTGCGATGGTTGTAAGGTGTGTGCCCAGCCTTAGATGAGCTAATCAGTCTGCTGCTTTTCCTTTCAGTCTGCCGGGGGAGAGACTGGGGGAGGTACTAGACCTGTAGATGTTACTAAATTGCAGCAGAGATAAGTCAAGTCTCCTGAAATGGCAGACCGGGTTGTGTTATGTGGCAGAGCTGCAGAAATCTCAGGTCCTGATGAACAGAAATGCAACTAGTTGGTTACAGCTATAGACATTCAAGTAATTAAATATTCTCGTCAAGCTGTACATGCACTTTAAAACAATTCCTCCCTGGCCTCTAGAGCTCCGGTTACTGCGTAGTAATTAGTCCTCAAAGTTCATCATAGAGGCACTGACGTCACTGCCTTCTCTGGCAGCCAACCTACCTTCTAATGTAAACGGAAAGTGCTGTAAACTGATTTCTAAATCTTTGGTGATCTTTAAGGATGAAATATTCCACAACACTGGCAGCTACAGAGGTCATTGAAGACTTGTTTTAAAGTTCATTAACTGCTTAAGAATATGTAAATGCTTAATGGCCTTAGCCTCACCACAGATTAAAGTGTGTGTGTGTGTGTGTGTGTACTGCAAGATGCCCACATAGTACCACCACAGCCTGTTTAATACTTTTATGATACCCACGGGGTTACTTTAAAAATGTCAAAAGACAGATGATTGATATAGTGTAACCGTGGTCAGAACGTAGTATGCTTGTTCTACATTTTTATAACCCAAAATATAGGATTAAAGGAGAATTCTAGACTACAGTTTCCAACAACTTGCCTTTCTGTACCCTTACAGCCATCTCCTAAGCCTCAAACAAGTATAGGGGGGCTTGCGCTTCCCTACGTTTAATTAAAAAAACAAAAAGCTGCCATTTATTATTCAGTGCTCAAGACAAGATTGGATTAATCTACATGGAAGCTTGCATATCTCAGTGCAAGTTCTGATAATCAAAACATAGACAAGAAAGAAATAGAAGAGCACTAGATTTTTTTTCTCTATAGGACAAGCTCTGGGTTTAAAGGAGATCTGTTCTTACACAGTGTACAATTTGTCATGTATATGTCCTTTCTTGAAATTGTATCTTTCCTGTTTATATACAAAAACGACAAGGGAAATATTTGAAGTAAATGTAAATCCTTACATTTAGTTTGCTTAAGGCACTTGTATTATTAACAGTTTGCTGATCTTCCGCAGCCTCTTTGCCTCCATTATCTGTGTTATGGCACTGCATTGGTGGTTGCATTGCATTTCACAGGAATAGTTTCCTGATGGTGACATCAGTGGACCCTAAGGCTGCACTGATTACTGAAATAGCTACCTGTAGTCTCCATCTGGGTAAGCAGGGACAGAGCATTGTCACTTTAACAGGAAGTGCCTAAACAAGGTTAATAAAGTGGTATTTTATTGAAAGCTGCAAATTGAAATGATTGAAAATGACTTAAAATAAACTAACAGGAAGCTTGTATGAAAATGTAGTGATTTGGCTTTACATATACTTTAATTGGAATGGCCATTTAATACACAATAGATCTTCAGTGGAAATCCAGTCTTTTTGTACATATCCTTTGTAGTTATTAGTTGCAAAAGATTGTTATAGTTTTGCTAACGGCATTTTGTTTTTCTCAATAGATATTAACAAGTGACACCCCGTCGCCTCCGCCAGGTTTATCCAAACCCAACACAACCATCCCCACCAGTTCAGCAAATCACAGTGCGCGGTCTCCCTTCGAAGATGCCATGACAGAATCACAGTCTCTGTTCTCGGACAACTTTCGGCACCCAAATCCCATCCCCAGTGGACTTCCTCCTTTCCCCAGTTCCCCACAGACATCAAGCGAATGGCCTACAACTCCAGAGCCACAGAGCCTCTTTACATCAGGTGCCTACTACTTTTAATGCAAAAAATTTTTTTTCTGCTCTAAGGTTTAGGTATCCTCCATAGCAACCAGACAGTCCAATTTGTCAGCCTGCTTAAGAATTAGAAGTGGAGCAATCTGGTTGAATAGTATAAACAGAGAAATGTTTTTAGTGATTGAGCCCATCCAGGTTTTTACTCCTTTAAATTCTTCATCACCTATAAACATCCAATGGAAGTCATGTATTTTTTTTTTATTAGTTTAGAAAGCTTCACTAGGGTCCATTTGTCATTCAGTACAATGTTTTTTCTCTCAATAGTCCTCCTTAATGACAAACTGGACTTTGTACCTAAAAACATAAATTAGCAACAGACTAGTCTCCAGTATTGTCTGTGATCTCCCTGCAACTGCACTCTATGTGTGAAGGTGAGCATTTTGGTTAGAGGCATGTTTTTGCTTCCTCTGTTCAGAGGCTCCAGCAGAGAGAACAGTGAGCAGCATAATAGTGACATCACCAAATCTCACTTCAACTTTCATGACTCTAGCAGACAGAGGCAGTAGTGCCTTAAAGGAGTTACCCCAAGGAGAACTATGGGGAAAAACACTGACCCCATAGTTCACCTTTAAGCTGCCCATACACTGTAATACTTTATTTGTTCAACCCACGGGCTGAACGAAAAAAAAGTATTAGATTTCACCATGGCTTACAAAGAATCGCTAGGTGTTTCCTTTGTATTCTGACAGTACCTGCTCATTGGCTGCCAGGCCTGTTCGCTTAAACATTTTCCGACCGGTTCCTTCAAATAGCTGATTGAGGGATGCTGGCCGAAATGGTGCCAACAGCGGCATCCACTGCGAATTTTAACCCAGCAAATTTTCACTTTCTTTCTAGTTCATTGAGTGTCACAAAAATTGATTGACTGTTGGGCTATACTGCCAGGTAAAATAGTATTTGGACACTGGCTAACAGTACTTATGTGCCAAGAATAAAAAATCAAGAGCTCAGTCCAGGAAAACTCATGACTCCTTGAAGTCCATGAAGAAATCCTTTAGTTACTTCCAGGCCTCAACCTCAAGTCTAGAGCTGCAGCTAACGATTATTTTCAAAATCGATTAGTTAGCCGATTATTAAGTTCGATTAATCGGTTAATCGGATAAACAATAAAATAAAGTTTAAAAAATGGCTCCAGTGATAGGACTACTAGTTTGTATTGAGGTTGTAGTCCATCACAGGAGCAAGCTTGGAGCGGTGGAAGTAAAAAAAAAAAAAAAGATAGTGTGGTGTGCAATATAGTGAAATGGAAAGTGTAAAATTATACAGCAATGAATGCAGAATGGCACCGGCTATAGAGGACTACAAAACCCAGCAAAAGCACATTATACAGCACAATGCAGAATACCGCCAGCTATAGAGGAATACAACAAATCCCAGCAATAGTACATAATAGCTGGCGGCATTCTGCATTGCGCTGTATAATGTACTATTGCTGGGTTTTGTAGTCCTCTATAGCTGGTGGTATTTAGCATTGTACCACTTTATAATGTACTATTGCTGGGATTTGTTGTAGTCCTCTATAGCTGGTGGTATTCCGCATTGCGCTGTATAATGTATTATTGCTGGGACTTGTAGTCCTCTATACAGCGCAATGCAGAATATCACCAGCTATAGAGGAGTACAACAAATCCCAGCAATACATTATACATACAGTGTATAATGCATTGCTGGTATTTGTATTCCTATGTATAATGTACAGTACAATGTACCAGAGAAATACAAATCCCAGCAATACATTATAGAGCACCATGTGTGGGAAAGTGCAGGCTTACCTGACCAGTCTTCCAGCAACTTGCTTCTGAGATTGGACCTGTCTATCAGCTGCTGTCATCCCCCCACCCCTGCTCCTCCTTACTACATCTCCCCGCGTGCCTTGCCGATCGTGGATGGGCAGGAAATGTGAGGCGGGGAGGAGGTGCGGCGTGTGGAGCGTGGATGCGAGCGGGTCTGGCAGCGGTGAGAGTGAGGTGGGGAGGAGGTGCAGCGCGCAGCGTGTGGAGCTGTGAACAGGGCCAACTGATCGGAAGCCGATTAATCGATTATTGAAAAAGTTGACAACTTTTTCAATAATCGATTATAATCGATTATGTCGATTAGTTGTTGCAGCCCTACTCAAGTCCAAGCCTGGCATTCAGTCTGCAAACCCTTTACTTCCAAGTTCCTAAAGCCCTCAGATCTTCATCTAAACTTTCCAAAAGTTGAGTGACGTCAGTTAGCCTTTATGGACATCTGAACAGCCAGCATCTTGGAGGCCTGGGTGCAGGAGGTAGTTTCCAGGGGCTACTAGCTACAATTCCGCCTTCAACTCCCTTCTCGGTTCATGTCTTCTAACCTGCCTATGTCACTGCGAGGATTAATATTCATGCCACCCACGCAAGTCTTGTGGAGCAAGCGGGCCGTTGCCCCAGTACTTTTGGCCAAACTGTTCTAGGGGTTCTACTCCAACCTGCTTACAGTTCCAAAACTATCTGGCCCACTTAGTTCTTAAGGTCCTAAATGTCTTTATTCAGACCCAGAAATTGCACATGGAATTGCATATCCCTGATTTTCTGCCACATCAGCGATTCCTTTGCTGTGCGCTATCTAACCCAGTTTGTGGCCCTGCCATTTGGCCTATCCTCTGCATCTCCAGTGTTCACCAAGGTTCTGCCCCATACTAGGCTTTCTGCGCTCCCAGGGCATCCCCAGTGTGTGGAATATTAGGACGATCACCTGTTGAGGGAACAGCTGGCACAGGTTATAATTCACTATGTAGCTTGAAACCTCCAGATATTGCAGAGGTTCAGTTTTGTCCTGGACTTTCAAACGTCAGCACTGGTACTGACCTATCACTTGGGATATTTGGGTATTATCCTAGACTCCGTTCAAACCATAGTTTTTCTTCCCCCTGAGAAGCCTCTAACTCTTTGTTCACAGACTGGGACCCTTGAGTCCAGAAGTCACCCATCCTTTTGTCTTCTGCTTGAGAGATTTGGGGATGATGGTAGCCTTCATCGAGGCAGCCCCATTCGGACTGATTGATTCACCTGGCACTAAAGAATAGGTTGTGGTGACCCTGAAATCCTGCTCTGTAGTTTGTAAAATCCTTTTTTCTGATCTCTTGGAAGAACCCCACAGCAGGTGCCAGCCTGTTGGGCTGAGAAGGAATCCTGGACACTTAGTTGGTGCAGGGGACTTAGTTGTCAGAGGAACCTAGGCTCCTAATCAACATTCTGGGAATATAGGCAGTTTGGTTGTCCCTGCAGTGCTGGACCCCCAACTGTAGAGTTATCCAATTAGATTCAATCAGCCAATGGCAGTGGCGTAGGTCAGCCATCAGGGAGGAGCCAGAAGTCTCCCTGCAGCAAGTGAGGTAAAAAGGATCCCGTCTTAGGCAGAACTCCACATTTCAGCCTTGTCTGCTATTTACATTGCAGGCGTAGGCAGTTGGCAAGCAGGCTACCTCAGCCAGCAGCTCCGGGCGGCTACCTGGTATTCTGTTTTCTAAAGTTTTACAAGATGGGTGTTGGACCTCCATCTCATGTAAGAGTCTTCAGTCAACTCCCGCTTTTACCACACCCCTTGATTGGACTGCTTTTGGACATCTCAACAGTCTCCTGTATCCCTAAAAAAGAAAATTGTTTTTTTGCACTTATTTTAAATCAATTTCGTTAATTCAGGGACACAGGTCCCACCTTTTCTTTCTATGGTCATGCTTTTGATACTGCTTTTCCACAAAATTAAGGCATGGTGACAGGAGCAGAGCTTATACTGGGCTTTTTTGTTTGCCAGTACCAAATACACTTGTAGGTGGCAGTATAGCCCAACATTCTCTGAATTCCTATGTCCCTCAATGAACTCCAAGAAAGTACAAAAATCCAGTTTTTTTACTTCAGGTCCTCTTTGAAGTGAACCTTGCGGTAAAATGTTTTAGTTTTTAGATTTTTCTTTTGAATTAGATAACAAATTTGCTATAGTTTTTAAATTTAGCCTCCTAACTTTTTGCCTTCTTATGGCTGGTTAGTAGTCAGAACTGAGACCTTGCAGGTATTGGGTTTGGCATTTAATCCTTATCTGGGTTTATTTTTGTAAAGCGTTTTTATGTCCTGCGTGTGTCTGTGGGGTGGGCACTTTGATTTACTCCCACAACTCCAAAAAGATATGGTGACTTGGTCGGCTGGTACACCTGTTCACGCTAGAATGGTGGTTACAATTAAATATTAGGACAGCAGGTAGGCTTCAGTGGAAAGGGACATACATAAGAGATTGCATGTTCTTTTGTAAAGCACTATTGAATGCGTGTACTTTGTAAAGCTCTATGGAATGAGTTAGTGCAACATGGATAAATCCGATGCTAACATTGTCCTTTTATTTTTGCAGAAACAATCCCGGTCTCCTCATCTACGGACTGGCAAGCTGCATTTGGCTTTGGCTCTTCTAAACAGCAAGAGGACGACTTGGGCTTTGATCCCTTTGATATCACCCGCAAAGCCTTAGCAGACTTGATTGAGAAGGAACTGTCTGTTCAAGATCAGCCAGCACTGTCCCCCAACTCTATTCAGAATCCTCACACTACTGCCAAAGGGCCAGGATCTGGTTTCCTCCATCCCACCACAGTCCCCAACGCCAACTCTATATCTAGCACCTTTCCTGTTTTACCACAGCGGTTCCCACCCTTTCAACACAGAGCTGTTTATAACTCGTACAGTTTCCCAGGCCAAGGAGCACGGTATCCGTGGATGGCCTTTCCTCGCAATAACATCATGCACTTGAACCACACGGCAAACCCAACCTCAAACAGTAATTTCATGGACTTGAGCCACCCTCAACACAACACAGGTCTGGGAGGGATTCCCATTTCAGGTACGTTGTGTTAAACCTTATGCCTTTCAGAAGATAGGAGTTTGAGAAACCCAGTTCTTGGTCGGTGAAATTCTTAATAGATCTGAAATATTCGTCAAAATGGTCCTTGGTTACTGAGCTTGGGTCTGCAACCTACAAAGTCACTTATTGCACTGGATTAAGCGGTGTCTTCTCTTGCTAAATTACACTTAACAGGGTTGTGTATTTTTTTGTAGAATGAGAAAAGGCAGAAACGGCCTACTTACATTGTTCCACATAGTATATGGCCAAAAGTTTGTGGACACCTCAAATTTGTCTTCAGTTGTTTTTTTTTTTTTTTATTGAAGGATACTGTTAATGCTACAGCTTACAAAGACATTTTAGACCATTGTGTGTTTCCAAACATGGTAAGTTTGGCTAAGGGCCTATATACACTATATTACCAAAAGTATTGGGACACCTGCCTTTACACGCACATGAACTTTAATGGCATCCTAGTCCGTAGGGTTCAATATTGAGTTGGTCCACTCTTTGCCGCTATAATAGCTTCAACTCTTCTGGGAAGGCATCCACAAGGTTTAGGAATGCGTCTATGGGAATGTTTGACCATTCTTCCAGAAGCGCATTTCTGAGGTCAGGTACTGAATATAGTGTTTTTCAGCATGTGTGCCTCTGTGCAGAAACCCAGCTTCATACAGATATGGTTTGGTGTTGAGGAACTAGTGGCCTGCATAGAACCCTAACCTCAACCCCACTAAACACCTTTTAGGATGAACACCAGTTGTAAGCCAGGTCCTTTCATCCAACATCAGTACCTGGCTTCCTGCAATGCATGAGTTTTTAGGTTATACAACCTCCAAAATGTAAGGTTGAATCACCGGCAGACAAAAGTATTAAGCCAGTCCCATATAACCCCTCTCCCCAGCATGCTTCACTCTTTCTGAATTTTTTTTTCCCCTTGGTGATCTAAATCAAAACTCCTTGAATACCATTGCTTGAGCTTGTCGCCACATAGAAGCTATTGATGGGCAGTTCCTCAGCAGTAGCTTTGGAATCCGTAAAATCACCCCATTGGATGAGTGTGGGGCTAGCATGAAATGTGTCCTTTTGGGTACTGGTTAGTTAGCAGCTTTCCTGGTCCAGAGTTGTGGCAGTTGAGACCCTGTCTTTGAAGACTCACCTTGGGATCAAGGCTGGTCGGACTGAAGCAACAGGAGCTACAACACTGTTGCACCATTGGGTGCCTTTTTAAATATCCTGCCACCAATACTATTTGTGGCTGGTGCACGCTCCTTCCCTTAACGCAGGAGGTCTGTGGAAGAGTGGGAGGAAGCCCGGACTTCTCCTTGCTATCTATTCTATTGCAGCCACAGCACGTAGCACACCTGTAGCTGTCAAGCTAAACCCCAAGTATTGACTCCATACTCGGTGGTCCCTCATCATTCTACCTTTAGGATTGTTTGCAAGTGCTATCTGCTCAGTCCTGTTTGTGCCCCCCATCACCTGGGACCTATGATTCTTCACTTGGCAGGAACTTGCCTTCAAGCATAGTATCCTTCTTCCTCGTGCACTCCTTTTACAGGGGAGTATTTTTAACTTTGGGAACTATTGAGCACTTTGTGGTATTTACCAGTCATCAGTTCTATCCTTTTTGTGAGGGATCCTCTAAACTACAAGGTCAAGAAGAATCAGGTCAGACTGGTTCTTATGATGGTAAGGTTTTTGCCCATTCAGCATTCCCCAGATGTATCTGCAACAGGCCTTATGTCCATCCTAATGCCCAATTGCAGAGCATCCAGGAAACCTCCTCGTAAGAGGGTCTATTTTCTGAACTTTTAAAGTCTGATTCCTTCTGCTGGACTTCACTCCTGCAGGCATCACGCTGATGCCTTTGGTTCACCTATGGGCTAGGTGGTTCATTTTAGAACCTCACTAAAGAGGTCCTCTTGGTGATTTTGTTTTGGGTTTTTTTTACTTTTCTTCCCTACCTGTCAAGGAAATTACCCTTCTACCATGGTCTCCACTTCTCTTGTAGGCTCTTTTAGCCTGTCCTTTTGGTGTCCGGTTTTCTGGGCTCAAGGAGTGACATCCAAATAACCCCTGTATAGTTAGTCCAGAGGTCTCTGGGGCACTTGTTCGCCAGGAGTAGGTCCTCATCTTCTGTTGTGTTTTTGCAGTCTTATGAGGAAGTTCCTCTGAGTTCATTCCTGCTCCCAAACATAAGGTTCATCCTCTATCCTCCCTTTGGTTGTCCCCATCTATGGTGATTTAGAAGTTGCTTCCTTTTAGATACTTCTGACTTGATAGGACAATAACGTTTAGAGGACTGTCATTGGCTGTTTCCTACCCCTCCGTTTGGACGTCCCAACTGCAATAGAATTCCAATGACCCTTAGTGGAAATTATCATTTTTGCATTTACCATTTTCTTGTGGCGCATTAAGAGACACGGGTCCCATTCTTCTATCATCTGTGGCCCTGTGTATTGCTTTCTCCCAAAAATGAGGCATTCTGTGTAGAGGAAAGGTTATTCAGGGGCTGGCTTACATTTTTCTGCCAGTCTCCCAACCTCCTGCAGGCTGCAGTAAAACCCAACTATAATAGAAGTCATGTCTCCTCAATGGACCACAAGAAAAAGATCTTATGGTAAGTAAATCTTATTTTTGGCTGAGACACTCCAAAATCTTGTGCAAACCCTTTCCAGAAGAGTGGTGTCCATTATAACCACAAAGAGAAGGCAACTTCATAAAAATGGATATGGAATGTCCATCAAGCTCATGTTGGTGTTATGGTCAGGTGAGAATAAACTTTTGGCCATATAAGGTATTTAAAAAGGATGATATGAAGGCCAGTCTCCACTATGAGGAAGTTTGTCTTTTCTCAGCACAGTACTCCTAGGAGGGGCTTTGGTAAAATGTGTTGAAGTAAACCTGTCATAAGAGAAATACAGGGCTGCCGTTGCTGACTTTACTGTGAAAAAACTAGCTGCCTAGCTGTTACGTTGACTTTCTGTCTTCATTACTTTTGGGTCACTGAAAAGTTAGCATTATCAACTAGGTCAGTACCTCTAAGCATTGAAACAAGTGTTGGCATGACATAGCCAACCAATATATGTCGAGGGAATGGTGTGCAATGGCAGTCTTCACGTTTTTTACATGACGGGTTTCCTCCAAAGCCCAATTGAAGATAGTTTTTATTAAATTTCCCTGTCTTGGCAACATGCTATGGATAAGGCATGCTTCTCAATATGGAACTCTGCTGTCCTGGTCTTCTGTGGCCCAACACACCCTCCGCACAATGCTTTAATCAATTGCAACGCTCGGGGAGCATGAGTGCCAGTGTTGATTCTTTAGAAGTTGACAGTTGAGTAGCAACTAATGTAACATTTGTGATCGCTTTATAGTGCACGAGTGCTGCCCAGACTATGAACATTTTAGAGCTGCAGCTAACGATTATTTTCAAAATCGATTAGTTAGCCGATTATTAAGTTCGATTAATAGGTTAATCGGATAAAAAATAAATGTTTAAAAAATGGCTCCAGTGATGGGACTACTAGTTTGTATTGAGATTTAGTCCATCACAGGAGCAAGCTTGGAGCGGTGGAAGTAAAAAAGAAAAAAAAAATGTGTGGCGTGCAATATAGTGAAATGAAAAGTGTAAAATTATACAGCAATGAATGCAGAATGGCACCGGCTATAGAGGACTACAAAACCCAGCAATAGTACATTATACAGCACAATGCAGAATACCGCCAGCTATAATGTACTATTGCTGGGTTTTGTAGTCCTCTATAGCTGTTGGTATTCTGCATTGCTCTCTATAATGTACTATTGCTGAGTGTTGTATTCCTCTATAGCTGGTGGTATTCTGCATTGGGCTGTATAATGTACTATTGCTGGGATTTGTTGTACTCCTCTATAGCTGGTGGTATTCTGCATTGCGCTGTATAATGTACTATTGCTGGGTTTTGTAGACCTCTATACAGCGCAATGCAGAATACCACCAGCTTTATAGGAATACAACAAATCCCAGCAATACATTATACATACAAATGTATTTCTGGGATTTGTATTCCTCTATAGCTGATGGTATATTGCTCTGTATAATATACAGTACAGCAGAATGTACCATCAGCTATAGAGGAATACTAATCCCACTATCCCAGCAATACATTATAGAGAACCATGTGGGGGGAAAGTGCAGGCTTACCTGAGCAGTCTTCCAGCAACTTGTTTCTGAGATCGGGCCTGTCTATAGGCGGCTGTCATCCCCCCACACCTGCTCCTCCTTACTTTTTCTCCCCGCGTCCCTGTGACGATCGTGGATGTGGGTGGGCGGTGAGTGCGAGGTGGTGCGACGCGTGGATGCGGCCGGGTGGGTCGACAGGGCCAACCAATCGGAAGCCGATTAATCGATGATTGAAAAAGTTGACAACTTTTCCAATAATCGATTATAATCGATTATGTCGATTAGTTGTTGCAGCCCTAGAACATTTAAAGTATTTGCATATTCTTAACAAAAGCTTTAAAACCATCTCTGGCCTCTCCAGCTGCTTTGATTTTGAAGTATTTCATTCTCAGGCATCCTCTAAGATCACAACAAAAACTCTGACATTGGTTTTAAGTCACTTTCTAACAGCTTAAAAACACCTGCTGTGTGCCGACACCTACCGACAGGCTGCCAACAGTTTGCTGTAGTAGAAATAATATGAAAAGAGGTAAGATTTCAGCCTTTTGTGAATTTTGAAGATGAATTTCTCCACAATGGCAGTATCTACTGAGCTTAAAGAGAATCATGTTTTAAATTGATTTTACTGGCTGCTCAGAATATGTAAATATTAGTGTCCATGTTATGGGCACAGGTTCCCTTTTAATAATGCTGGCTGGCAGTCACCTCATGTGGTTAGAACTACACTGGAGATTCTTAGTAATACATTTGTGCTGTGCTAGCAATTCATCACTAGGAGGTGAAAAAAAATTGCTAGGGCGGGGAGAACTAATGGTTTCCCATGGAGTAACCTACT